TCTGCAATTCAGGGTCAAGGCCGATTCCCCAAAAATTCACAAAGTGCAAAAAAATATCGACGACTTTTCACGACTTCTTCTATTTCTTTGCTACTTCTGTTTCTTTTACTCAAGTTTTCTAAGAGACTGAGTGTTTCTTGTAGTCTTCTTCTTCTTTTCTTAGAGCTCTGAGATTCGTTTCTTAGTAGCTTTTTGTGTCTTTCATAGTTTTTATTAATTTTATGTTTCAGAAAATTTGTGTTTTGATGATCAGTGGAAAGAGTTGGTAAGTATGTCAACTGATTTGTTATTATCTAGTTTCCCAATATGAAAGTGGTAAACAATGTCGATTTTTTGAAGAGGGTAAGCTGAATTCTCTACTTTTTGTTGAAAATTTTAGAACCAAAGAATGGCGAAGGAGTATTAAGTTTCTGTGAGTTTTTCAACCAAGAAGTATTGTTCCAAGAGTTCTTTAAAGTTTTTTATCTTCAAACAAACTTTAGTATTCTTTTCTTTTGCTGTTCCCAGAGACTCTTTCAGTTTGGATACCAAACACAAAGAGAAGTCTACCTAAGAAATAGCAAAAAAAACCAGGCTTAACTCTTTGCAAATCATTCAAAATGCTTGCTTCTCAGTGTATTATATTTAAAGACTTTATTAACAACAGTTTAAATTAAGAAAACTTCAAGTTATTGTCAACTTCTAGACTTGAATCTTCAACTTGCTTTTAGTGTAGGTTGGTATAAGTAATCATTGGGAAGAGTTGCAGTATATATAATTTATATTTTATATATATATAATATTGATCATGTATCGATTAATATTAACGTTATCCGGCAACTATGATCATGGCGTAATAAAACTGTCATGCCTGATACGTCATCTAGCAGTATAAATAGATTAGATCTTCGATAAAGAAATTTTTTTCAAATGCGAAAAAAATTTTTTCTTACGTAGCACTTTTTTGTGCTCTATAATATTTGCGTAAAAAAAAAAAAAGAAAAAAAATTTCTTACACTCTTTAAATCTGAGCTAAGACATACTTAAGGAATATAATCACTCTTCATCTCACATTTCAAAGGACATAATTGCTTCATCTGGATCTCTAAAGGACGTCAGTGTATTTTGAACAACAATTAAGTGTAACAAGAGTAAGCAAAACTGAAGTAACCAACATAACCAACATAGCCAGGTGTACAATATAGTTAGACATAACCTTTGAAGGTTTAATTATTTATAATAAAGTTACAGTTAGAAAGTTTCAAGCAACGTGAAAAGAATGTCAAATAAAAAAACAAAAAACTTTCCATACTAGTGCCAAGGTTTTATTTTTAGATTTTTTTTTGTTTTTTGTTCTAAATTATAATTTATAATTACTTATAATTTAAATTTAATAATATAGACATTTAAATATATAGAGCCTTCATTGGAAGATCTAAGAGCTATTCACAAAAATTCCAAAGTAAAGTCAACACATCAAGCAACTGAAGTATGGGTAAAAGCTCTGGAGGAATTTCGTGCTGATGTTGGTTATGGTAGAAAAATTGAAGAAATAAATTCAAAGACAGTATTGGAGGATCAGTTGTTACGTTTTGTATGTGTGATGAAACGTAAAGATGGCAAGAAATACCACACATCTTCTATACAAAATTGTATGGCAGCAATCTGACGTCATCTTAATGAACATTCAGTTATGAATAAACCAGTGGATATTTTAAACCCAAAAGTTTACTATGACTTGAATATTGTTGTAAATGGAAAGCTAAAAAGTCTTGCTGCAGCAAGTTTGGGTGAATGTAATGGTGCTGATGGTTTAACAAAACAAGAGGTTGATCAAATTCTTGAACATTCTACTATACAACACAATTCTCCTGAAGGATTGTTATGACATATCTTTTTTTATAATGCTGTACTTTTAGCATTACGTGGTGGTGAACATCAGGATCTAAGAATTGAAAACTTTGTAAAAAGATTTGATAGAGGCATAGATGTAAAGCTTTTTAAATCTAAGACGAATCAAAGAAGGTTGGATAGTTACCATGCACAAGCAGAAATGATTAGCCTGCCCAATATTCAAAGTGTAATTAATGATTATGAACTTTACTTTAGTAAACGTCCTGTAAAAGCTGTCTCAAATTTTTATTTAAAACCTTGTAATTCAAATGCACGTAAGTATTTATTTAACTTATTTTTTTTTGCAATTTAGTTAATTTCTAAAATGCATTTATTTTAATTATTTGTTTGCAATACAGAAAATTTTAGCACACAATGGTATTATACACGTGCCCAACCTGAATGTATATTGAGAAATTATTTTAAAACAATATGTGAGGATGTAAAAATTTCTATTGGTAATAGAAATATTTCTAATCATTCTGGATGAAAAACATCAGTTCAAATTTTAAAAGACCTCAGATATTCTAATTCAATTGTTATGTCAATCACAAGGCATAGATCATTACAAGGTTTAGCTGCCTATAAACGTCCCAAATCAACTATGCAGCAAGAAGGGTTGGGTGGCTTTTTTAATGCTCTAACTTCGATTGCAAGCACACCAAAAAATGACCAAGATCAAGACAAAAATAATTCAAAAAAAAAAATCCGATAATTTATATGGATTCGTTTCAGCAAGTAATTATTCTTCATTCTGTTCTGAAATTCAAGACGATTTATTAGTAGCCACGTTTGAACCACTATCACAAGATGCATTTGAAGATATGCCAGAACCATTGTCACAAGATACACCTGAACCACTGTCACAAGATACACCTAATGTTTTGCGAAGTGCATTAATTGAGCTTGACCAAAACGTTCATACTAGTCAAATTGAAATGCAAGTTGGTCTGGAGAATGAAGGCAAGACTCAAAAGCAGAAATATAAGGAACCTCTGGAGAAATTACTTACCGGCAATACATTTAACAATTGTACATTTAATTTCGAGTCTTAATAAATACTTTTAATATTTGTATATTTTTTAATTGTTAAATATAAATATGTAAAAAATTAATGTAAATTTTAATAAATAAGCATTTATTTGCTTTCGATATTCTTAAATTTTCGAATATTTGTTTGTGTAACATATTTTGCATAAAATATCAAGGCAAAAAAAAGCCATAATCATAAGCGTTTGCCAGATAAATTTTATATATTTGATTATATATTATATATTAGTATAGTAACTTAGTAAAGTGGTAAAGTTGTTGCATCTCCAAGTAATCAAGTATAAGTTCAATTTCTACAAAGAGCAAAGATTGAATTTAAAAAAAATAGATTTGACAACTATTATTATAGTTGAAAAAACTTAAGACCCTATAATTGCAATTATACCAAATAATAATTATAGCAAAATTAGAAGATTCCTAAGCATTTGTATTATAAAGAAGTTATACAAAGATATACAAGCTAGTTTAGTTAATACAAATCTAAAATAAGTTCTTAAAAGTTGCAGAAAGTCAACAGAGCTGATATAATAGTAAAGCATTTGCTTGACAAGTCTTAAATAGAGAGGTATATAAACTTTCAGCAATACTATTGAAATAGGCTTCATCGAGGCTGGTATAAATATGAGAACTAAGTATTTAGAAGAAAAGTATTCTATCAACCAGGCTGTTAGAATGCTGAAAGAAAATCTGCAATACAGATATTAAAGGATTAGTATTCTTTTTAAGTCATCTGAATTAGTAGTTTAAGAAGAACAATTAGAAAATACCAAAATGAAAAGTACCAGATTGTTTTGAAGAGAAGTACAGACATTTAAGTAAATTTTATAAGGTCAGAAGTAGATTATAAGTAGTAATCAGGCTATAGTATAGTTAAAACATTATAAAAAAACCAATAAGAACAAAACAGCCAGAGAATACTTTTACTATAAAAACTAGAACACAAATAATAGATCTCAGTCTATACATATTAACTAAAAACTAAATTAGCTAGATTGTAAATATAAAAAGCTCTAACTGATTTGCTTTAAAGATAAAGAATTCTTTATAAAATATGAGCCTGTCTTAAAGTCTTAAGTTAGATATTCAAAAATAAAGAAATATTAAGTATTTTTGTTCAGTTAAAAGATTAATATATATAAGTGCAGCAAATATCTTTCACAACTCTTCTTGCTAATCCTCTATATACAAAAATACAGAAACAAAATAATAACAAAAACATATAACTGGCAATAGGAAACAAGACTTGCAGCTTTAAAGAAAAAGCAAGAAGACCAAAAACAATACTCAGTCTTTTAAAAAACTAGAGTAAATAAAACAGAAGCAACAAAGATATAGAAAAAAAACTTAAAAAATCAGTGAAAATTTTGCTCTTTGCAAGTCGTTTAGGGGATTGGTCTTGATCCTGTAATGCAGATCAGTTTTTGTTACACAAAATATACAACACATAATGAAGAATAAACAAAGAAAATACGTTAAAAAAATGTAATAAATAAAAACAAAAAAGATATACAAATACAACAACTAATGTGAGCTCTGTCTGAGTCTCTAGTCTTAGTATTAGTCATATGAACAAGAGGCTATAGAAAATTCCGAAAAAAAAATTTATAACAGCAGAACAAGCAGAAGAACGAATAGCTGCAATACATATAGAATTAAGACAATATAGAGCAAAAAGAATTAAATATACAGAACTTGCTTTTAGAAAAAGAAACAATACAGCATATCAAGAGACAATATAGTTAAAAATCAATTCAACAGAATATGTTCTACTAAATGAAGTAATCAGTACTATAAGAAACCTATACATAACAGAAAGAGAAAGGCTGTTTATATGTAATAAAGAAAGATTAACCACCGAGTATGCAAGGGCTAAAATAGAGACAGGATAGATGAAAAGACTAGATAAACAGAGAAAGTGCAAACAAAGGCAGTATAATAAAATAACATCAGAACTATTATTATAGCACTTTAAAGAATCTGTCAAATTGATAAAAATAAAACAATAGATAAAGAAAAAAGAAATAAAATTAGAAAAGAAAAAAAGATACAAATTCAACAGAAAGCAAAGCTTTAAGAACAAAAACAACAAGAAGCCAAAGAAAAAGAAGAAATATTGAAGAAAAGAATCACAGGAAAAGATATTGAAGGCCTCATAAAGAAGAAAACTTTAGACAAGTTAATTGAAGAATCAAGGCTGAGAATTTTGGTAACAACCTTGATAGAAGATAAAAACTCTACTAATATACAATATAAAAATCTATAAATGAAAATACTGAAGTAGATAGTAGAGATTATATACCAAGTAAACTTAAAAAGTAGACAAGATAGTATTAAAAATTAGAAAAGAAATCTTGGATGAAAAGAGTAGACAAATTAAATCTATAACAAACACCAGTATAAACAAAGAAAATATTATACAAGATACAACAACAGGGAGAACAATAGAAGTCAAGAATTAGAAAAAAAAAAAAGATATTAGATTTAAAATAGCATAAAAAATTATAAGGAAATTAGCCAGAAATTAAGAAAAGTATATTAGATTGCATAAAAAGTTATACAGAAGAGAAGCAAGCTTATAAAGTAAGAAAAAAAAGCAAACACTCAGTTTTGAAGAGTCAAGAATTAGAAAAGAAAAAAAATCTTTGTATCTGAAATAATAGGAAGAACCAAGAAAGCAAAAGAAGTATATAAGAATCCAAAAGAAGCCTATTAGAAAAAAATCATGACTATGGAGTAGAAGAAAAAAAAAAGCGCCAAGTTCCAATAAAAGAAAAAAAGAAGACTCATACAAATTAACTAAGACCTAGGAGCAGAAGAATCAAAAGTAGTATTGAAGAAACTAGAAGAAGAAAGGAGATATAGATGAATATTTGTAGAAGAAATATGTATAAAGAATATTATTAAAAGTAAAAAGAAGAAGGTGAAGCTCAAGAACTAGAAGAAATACAATAAGAAGAGAGAAATTAGAAGATTAAAGTATCAGAGCAGACTACCAGTAGAAAGAAAAGAAATAAAATATGAAAAGATA